ACGCCGGGGCCGCTTGCCTATCGTTTTATAGGCAACTGGGTCAATTCTGGCGAGCGTCGACGCTTTCCGCGAAAACTTCATCGCGCTACACGATGCCTATACCGTTTCACTAGCTTCCTACACTTTCGCGTATTTTCTAACTGAACGATATTTATCGAGCGAACGATTGTTTTTTTTTTTTCGTTGGAGAATTATTTTGAATTCTTCTTTTTGTTTTCATTTTGTTTCGTGAGAATATTTTTGCTACTTAAAAACTGACTCTTAGATTTTCGTTTAGTAAATTAAATATAACGTAAAGTAGGATTTTGCAAGTTATAAAAATCATTTTCTGCGTTGTTGAGTTAAAATAGAAGAATCGGGATTTTGTACGAGAATTCTTTCTCTCGAAACTATTGAGTTGCTGAAAATGATGATAGAATTTTACTCCTAGCCCTTTCAGCTACACGTACATTTCTTACGATTTTGCTCACATTTTTTTCCTGATATAAACACGATTGTCGAGCGAATTTTACAACATCAAGTATTAGTGCCATACGTCACAAATCTCCGACAGGTTTTCGCAATAAATCAGTGCAAAATCTACGGAAATAGATTTACTCGCTACGATAACATTGGAAACAGATATGTATTTGATAAACTCAAATATTCGATGACACTAGACACCAATGTTATCAAACGGTCATATAAAGAAAGTAACGATGTGAAATTAAGAACGACTGCGATTTTTGTTACAGACACTTAAAATCGAAGAAAAAGCAAAATGTGCGACGACGAAGTAGCAGCCCTTGTTGTCGACAATGGATCCGGTATGTGCAAGGCCGGTTTCGCCGGAGACGACGCTCCCCGTGCCGTATTCCCCTCGATCGTAGGTCGCCCCAGACATCAGGGTGTGATGGTCGGTATGGGTCAGAAAGACAGCTATGTCGGCGACGAGGCACAGAGCAAGAGAGGTATTCTCACCTTGAAATACCCGATCGAGCACGGTATCATCACCAACTGGGATGATATGGAGAAGATCTGGCATCACACCTTCTACAACGAATTGCGTGTTGCCCCTGAGGAACACCCAGTCCTCCTCACCGAGGCTCCCCTGAACCCAAAAGCTAACCGCGAAAAGATGACCCAGATCATGTTCGAAACCTTCAACAGCCCGGCCATGTACGTCGCCATCCAGGCCGTGCTCTCCCTGTACGCTTCCGGTCGTACCACCGGTATCGTCTTGGACTCCGGAGATGGTGTCTCGCACACCGTACCCATCTACGAAGGTTACGCCCTTCCTCACGCCATCCTCCGTCTGGACTTGGCCGGTCGCGATTTGACCGATTACCTCATGAAGATCCTCACCGAGAGAGGTTACAGCTTCACGACCACGGCTGAGCGAGAAATCGTGCGCGACATCAAGGAGAAACTTTGCTATGTCGCCCTGGACTTCGAACAGGAAATGGCCACCGCTGCTGCCAGCACCTCCCTCGAGAAGAGCTACGAGTTGCCCGATGGACAGGTGATCACCATCGGTAACGAGAGGTTCCGTTGCCCAGAAGCCCTGTTCCAACCTTCCTTCCTGGGTATGGAATCCTGCGGTATCCACGAAACCGTCTACAACTCCATCATGAAGTGCGACGTCGACATCCGTAAGGATCTGTACGCCAACAACGTACTCTCTGGCGGTACCACCATGTACCCCGGTATTGCCGACCGTATGCAGAAAGAAATCACTGCCCTGGCCCCATCGACCATCAAGATCAAGATCATCGCTCCCCCCGAGAGGAAATACTCCGTATGGATCGGTGGATCCATCTTGGCCTCCCTGTCCACCTTCCAACAGATGTGGATCTCCAAACAGGAGTACGACGAGTCCGGCCCTGGCATCGTTCACCGCAAGTGCTTCTAAGCAGTTATGCTCGATTCAAATTATTATTACTATCGATATTGTTATTGCTACACCTTTTCCCCAAACACACCGTTCACTGCCGTACCGCTTCGTCTAGCTGCGACTCCGTTAGTTCAATTCTATCGGCACTGTTTCTACGTGGCGGTGAGATTTTTTCCGACGAACATGGTCTGAACATACACGTCATCTTTTGTATATAAGTTTACATCTACGGAATAAATCAGTCTTATATTCTTACAACTAATCAAAACGTAGCTTTTCATTTTACGATTCCCTGAATATCAATTGCTCTTTAATAATCGATTTATTTTCAATTCTATTATATCTTTCGCACATTATTCTTCAATCATGAAGTATCTATTCTTCTGATCCAATCGAAAAATATTTCATCTTTGTTTGATCAAAACATTATTGCACACTACATTACGATTAAATATGTTACAATAAGATACAAACCGGATAATTTCTCATTAGAATCGTGCATTTGCAATGGGGGGGACACTGCAAATATTAGGATCAAATTGAAATAAAGGGGCCAGCCATCAATTACTATACGTTCGTATTGATAGGCTGTACTAGAAAAAAGTTTTGCATACATCAATAAAAACTGGGTAAAATGTCGGCTTAACAAACTTAAAATTTCTAGAATTTCTAGAAAAATATATTTATTCAAATCTCAACACTCGTATTCAACATAAATAACATTTTGGAAGGGACAGTAATATACGTATCGTCATCTACCATGCATGGATTGAATTACGCGAAGGAGTAACTCATTGCTTCTATCAAAATTACCGGGGTATCCAAACGGACTTCTTTACGTTATCGTAAGCTTCGTCGCCAATTTGTTAAGGATAGACGCGCCCTCATCCAGGAACACGCTCCCCTTTAATGCTGGCTTTCTCCTTTAGCGTAGTCCATACATTGAGTGCTTGTCCTGTTTGTGTCTTTCGCATCGCAGTATCTGCAAATTTGCATTCATCATGCTAATCAATTGCTCAAATTGTGATATTTATACAAAAGGTAGTCCGAATATCCTTATACGTAGAATTATTTTGCCGTCTTCTTACTTCCTTAAAATTGTCGAATTACACACTAAGCGCACATGCATGAAGAGAAGAATTTGGTTCTTCAAAATTCCTCCATACTTCTATAAAGTTTCCACTCTCTTGCAATTACGATTCTTGCAATTCTTTACAACTCTATAATATACTCTACGGTTACGATGAAAGATATCAGCACTTAAGTTAAATAACAATTATTATCGTCGATATCTTTCTTTATCCGATAATTACATCACTGACAACGTACATTGATAAAGTACTTTAACGTACTTAATTCTCCGCGAAAGCTATACTTTAATCAAAGGCCAGATAGCAAAAACGACTCTTGTTTATGTTTGTCTTTTCTCAGGAAATTCAAAGAATACCCCGCAGCGTCTTTCGTACATTACAATTTCTCTTAACGAAATATTCATCGTATCGCATTATAACTACGAGCGTGTCTCTAAGTATATCGAGCTATATCCAACAGCTATATCTAATTCAATTATAAAGTTTTGGCACAACTGTTCGATTTTCGTTCGACGATAAATCAGGACATAGATCATTTTTCGTAATACCGATTCCGCTAAGTCGTGAATTTTCTGAAACGCGTTACTATCTAAATAGCGAAAAGGCTTGGCAAGGGTCGTCTTTGTCACGAGCCCCTCAATCTCTACCGATATTCTTATATAAATGAAAATCTCATCACCTTCGAACATTCCACCGAACATTGTCATCTTCTTGCACGGTCACGAAACTTGGAAACTTGTTGGTCGATCGATCGAATCACCGTCTGTATGCGTACAAGGGGATTCCGTGTGGAAGTTCGTTTGCGATAAAGACGTGCCGTTTCGGGGTTGAAACACGGCAATGCGAATCTGCGAATCGGTCGCACGTTTCGACGGTGGCTCTTGCAAAAAGGTGGAGGGGATCGGTGGTGGCTCGAGCTACGTGGTCGCCCTGTGCACTCCCAATTATAGAAAGCAGCCTAATCGTCCAATAATTCGATTCTATATGCATTTCATCGGCCGTAAATGGCTGATTGAGCCATTTACACCCGGCGTTGCACGCAACCATAATATACGGATCGTTTAGCATCGAAAATGGCGTCGCGTCCCAACTGTAATTCGGATTATTATTGTTGGCACGCTGCGGCCATATCAAGTCATATATTATTCGTTTACGAGTATGAACGACAGCCGCGAAATAATGCGCTTGTCGTGAACATTTTAGAGATCAGCGGCCTTAAAAAATTTAATATTTCAAGAGAAAAGTTCCGAATCACGAAAGTTCGAAATTACGAAATCAGAGAAATCGAACGTCAATCGGTGAAATTAGAACGATAATCGGTTGGTCTAATACGTTCGTTTTAGAGGGATAATATTTAAATTTCTATTATGCTACTTCTACGGCTGTTACGCTTTTGCCTTTATGCTTTTCGTTGTTTTAGTATTTTACTTTTCGTAAATTTTAAGCAGATCGATCTTTTTATTTATTTCGATACTTTTTTATAGTTTTATCGTTGCACCGTAAATTCTGCGTGGAAATTTTTGTACAAAATTTTTTAAATTTGTTACGGATAATTCCGAGATATTGTCGATTCAGTCGGAGGAGAACGCACGAAATATATTTCGCAAGGCGCGCAAAATTCAACTTAATTTCAGTTACACGTATCTAGCGATTAAATTTTAACTATAACGTGTTTATTGAAAGATTTCTTTTGTCGAGAGATCATCTCGTATTTAAGAAATTTATTCCAGGTTTCTCTTTGGGTTTATCCCTTCTTATTAACCGGATGCGTATCTTCCTAACTTGAATTCGAAAATAACGCAATCCTAAACGAAACATTCATTAATTGATAAACATTCATTTACTACGTATCGTAAACATCGAAATCCACTTTGTTGAATCTTCCTTTCACGAAGCACGTTTCGTCCGAACCTCATAAACTTTCACGTCTATTAAAAGCTACCGACACACCGATCTAAACTTTTCATTCAAAAACATTGCGATCTCAAGATCCCATAAGCTTCGCTAAGCTCTATATTTATAGACTATTACTACTGCTAACACTCACATAAATTTTTTTTCTGCTTTTAATTAATTAAATTCAACTTACACGTAAATCCTAATTTTCCGGTTAAATACAGCAGCAAGTATTTATACGCTCGTAATCGCATTACCAGATACAAATACACAAATACACGTAGATTCATATTTAAGACAACTAAAGAAATAGAATCTAAACAAAACACCCGCCAAATATCATAAACTTCGGACATTTTATATACATTTTTGCACCTTTGATCCTGCCATAAATGCACGAACGTCATAGCCTATAGTCGTTCGGAGATCGCCTCTTCCGTTCTTCGACGATCAAATGTTCTATCTACATTTAAGTTGAAAGGAAACTAAACTTCGTCGTCTACTTTAAATCATCTCCGTTGTTCTTCGATCGAAAATATTTTGTCATTTTCTTACAGCCTTTGTCTATAACGTAACTTTATTTAAAACGTACCAGGTACCTCGAATGTTCCAACGTATTTTGAAAAATGAAGAAACGTTAGATACAGGACACGTTAGGTAAGAAGAACAAGCTGGACATGTGCTCTGTGTCTACCTTCCGGTTAATGAATATGACGGCACATAAATTGGAGGATGAATCAGATTGGACGCTGGTGCCCTTCGACCCTCGGCCGATTAGCGCCTAACGGAAGACGG